AAGCCTGAGAAGCTTTGCTGGACCAAACTGATTCTCCACAAAGCAGGAAAGGACTGGTCCCCACAGCCTGGTCCCAACTGCCTGCCTGGACAGGAGACCAACTGGCCAAGTTCTCCTCCACCCTCCCCCTTTCTCTGCTCCATCCCAAACACATCCTCATTAAAAACCACCTCCTCAAAGAGCCTCATCCAGCTGGGACACTCTCCTTTGGTCCTGCCTCCCAAATCCATCCCAGATGTCCCTCTCTGACCGCCACGATCCTCCACACTCCCCTCAACTTGCCAATGCATTTTCAATATATTGTATTTTTTGCCTTTCAAGAAGATGCCCCACAGAGGGAGGGTGGAAAAATCACAGCTTTGTGACAAACTGCATATTGACCACTGAAAATTGTTTTTCCTGCTGGCAGGATCCTGGTTGGCACTGTGTGGAAAGTAAAGCCTTTACCTGTTTGAACAAGAATTGGCCCAAAAAAATGTTCCAACAGAAGAGTTTTCAAAGCATCTCCTTTTTTTTTTTTTTTCCCCCCAGTGGAAAATAACCAGATTGGTGGCTGCTGCTGCTGCTGCCCCAGCTTTTCTTGCTCCATGATTTCTTTGGGATCTCTGACACCCTTTGGAGGGCGAGGGCAGCACCCAACTCCTCGTGCCCAGCCAGGATCCAGCAATTCAGTGCCAATCTCACCCCAAAAGTTAAGTTATGTTTGGAACTGGTGCTAAAAACAAGTGGTTAAAATAAAAACATTAAGAGGCTAAGGATGTAAAAAGGAATTGGGTTAAAACAGTCGAAGAGAGGAAAATCCCCAAATAACCAAGACCACACACACACACACTGAAATTACTCTGCAATTACTTATGCTGGTGGGAAATAAGGTGCCTGCAGCTATTCCAAGCTTTGGTTTGTCCAAGCTGGAGGCACAGAGTTTCCATCTGCTGTCACACCAAACCCAGTGCTGAGATGTCTCATTAATTTAGTGTGATGAGGGTCAGCTTCCCACTGGACACTGCTGGATGTGAGGTGAGGAAACAGCAGAATTACAGCCCCCACCTGGGGAATATTTGAGGAATATTCCTAATATTTTCAGGCAAATATTCAGCAATATTTTTAAAAAGCAGCAAAGCAGCACCCAGGTCTCTAAAGTCCCTTTTCTGGGAATAAATACAGTTGTTTAACAAAAAAAATAACTAGTGAGCAAATAAAAGCACTACCAGGTATTGACTGCAGAGCCTTCAGCAGGGTTTGTTTCACTGAGGATGGAGACCAAAAACCTGCCACCCTCCTGCCAGCAAAGCCCTTCTCTCCCCTCACAACTTCCCAGGCAGAGCCACAGGTGACAAGTTTGATCTGGGGAGTTATTAAATCAGGATGAGATAATTAGCCCAACATCCCACCCCATTAACAGAGCCCAAGAGGTTGGATGCATCAATGGCTTTCTCAGAATGAAAAATAATAAAGAGAGAGAAATCAATAAGCAAAGGACAGGGTGACCAAGATAAATATTTTGGTGACAAAAGAGTTCAGCGGAATAAATCAACACCCAAATCCAAGTGATGGCACAGCAAAGGATCTGTCCACTTAATCCTGAGGCTCAGATCCAGACAGATGGGGCCATTCCTGCAAGGGAAAGCAAATTCCATCCTTTAATCATTGAACCGCCCGGTTCTGACAGTTTTATAGGGGAAATTGGAAAGAAGTTTCTGAAGGACACAAACTGCTGAGTGGTTCCTTCCCTTGGAATTAGGGAATAACGTGCTCAGGGGGCTGGAGCAACCCTGGGCTGGTGGAAGGTGTCCCTGCCTGTGGCAGGGGGTGGAACTGGATGGGCTTTTAAGGTCCCTTCCAACCCAAACCATTCCATGCTTGTGGAATGCATCAGGCAACGGCCAAGCTTCAGTCCCAGCCTATGGAAATCAGTAAAGCCCCGGTGTACAGAGCCAACCAACCCCTCCTCGAGCAAGGCAAGAACATAATTCAATCCTGAGTCATAAATGAAGCTCAAACCCACTGAATCATTGCAGCCCTGCAGCACTGAGCCCACAGGTCAGCGCTACCCCTCTGTTTACACACATTAAGGAATTAAAAAGCCACACCACCCACACGTGCTGGGCTTGCTGGGCTTGTTCTCAGGTGACCCTCGGCTTCTTCGTGTCAACCAAATGCAAATCCCACCGTGCCCTAAAGGCCTAAACAGGGGCTGGAAGGAGGGGGAATTTCTTGTATGAGATGCACTAACAGAGTTGGAAGGGATAAAAGGAGAGCAGCTCCCTCCTCCAGAGCCTTTTCTTCTGCTTCAGATCTAAGCGAGGACTTGTTTGCTCAGAACCACGTCTGGTTTGGGCTTTTGAGTGTTGAAAGCTCACCTCACTCTCGTCTTTTCAGACAGAAAAGTGTTCTTTGAGCATCTGAGCAGATATAAAAACCTGCAAAACACTCTTTACACCGTCATTTATTCCCTTTGCACTTGGATCCTTCTCCCACGTTTCGCTTCACGTCTCTGCGCCCAGTTCAAACTGCACAATTTTCTTGCCTCTCCTTGGTGTTATTTCCCTCCCAGCTCAGGAGGGAAAGCAGAAGCTTCAAGGAACCCAGACCCAAGGGGGGGGTTCTTGAGGCTGCTCAAGGCTCAGCCCTCACAGCAAACCCCAAATCCCGGGCTTGGCACCTCCATCCCACACGACACGTCCCGGGGAGTGAGATCCCCCCACCAGCAGCTCTCCGGACACACAACCAGACCCCGGAGGAGTTGCTTCCAGCATCTCCCCAAGAAAACACCTCTCTTTGCTAGGGATTCTCAGGTGGAAAAGCTCCTCAGCCTCTACTCAAGGACAACACAGAGGTCACTCTAAAGCAGAGAGGAGGAAGGACGTGCTGTGCCAGAGGGAGTTGGCACCAACCCCCCCCCCCCCCACCCTGCTCCAGGCAGCAACTTGGTGCAGGGAGGGCACATCCAGTTGTTTCCCAGCACAGGGGTCCCCATCTCCCTCCAGCCTGGTGTGTCCCTGGGGGCATAAAACCTTCAGGATGGGAGGAAGAGGGAGAAAACTCCCCTATATTTTTTCCTGTTTCCTCAGCTGAGCCAGGAGAGACAGGAGGGACGGGGAGGTCCCCGAGTGCTGTGAGGTCCAAAAAGGCTCTCAAGGCTCACACATCCCACATTCCCACCCTCCAGGGGCAGCTTCTCGGAGCTCTGCAGGATGGCTGGAGAAGACCCCCTTCATCAGCCCACCTTGGGGGTCACAAAACAGCTGCTGCAGAGCAGGGAGTGACCAATTACAGCCAGCAGAGCCTGCCCTGAACTCCTGCATCGCTCCCCTTGCCCACGCCGTGCCAAAACAGCACTCCAGGATTTACGTTGCTTGGGACAACGTGGACCACGCTGCCGTGTTTGCCGCAACTTGGAACGGCAGAGAGTTCAATAAAACCTGCAGTCGGGCCCTGCTGGTGACTGGCAAACATCATCACACTTGTACCTGGGAACTGGGAGAGGGAGAGGCAGCTTCTCACTCACCACCCACTGCCTGTTTCTGCCTATTATCCCCCAAATTTCCTCATGCCACTGTACCAGTTTGCAGCCTTGTCCTGCTAGAGAGGATCTGTCTCAATGTGCCACTCTATTTTTTATTTTTATTTTTTAAATCGTGCCGTTTCTGCTCCTCTTTGCAGCAGCATATGCTCGCTCCACACACTCCCGGGCAGCTCACTTCATCCCGCAGGGATTCTCTCTCTCTCTCTCTCCCTCTCTCTCCTCCCCTTTACGATTTATCAGCCAGCTGGGCTGATGTGACAAGTCCAAAGAGACAATTCCGTTTGATTTTCAGGCTGCATCTCTCCGGCAGCACTTACAGACCAGGGAATTCAGCTCCTCTCCCGCGTGTGGAGCAGCACCAGCTCACTCTGGTTATCTCTCCCCACAGACACCAGCACCACTAACAGCAGCAGGAGTATTTAATCACAGCCCACACCTCTCCCTCCTGGATATCTGCAGAGATTAGAGGAGCAGAATATTCCAGCACAATAAACACCCGGCTGTGTTATCGATGAAAAAGGTCCTTCAAGTGAGTCTGGTTTCAGGTCTCATCCAGAGCGATTCAGTGTCTCCTCTTATCACCCCACAGCTCGCAAACAGCCCTACGGGAATTTTTCCAAGCTAAGAGACTCCCCGTGGTTTGTAAAACACCGCCCTGAGTTACGGGGTTCGATCCCACGGGCAAAAAAAATCCCTGCCGGGCGCACCAGGGCTCACACACCTCGTGGGAGGTGAAGGGCAGCTCCAATTAGCAAAACTCATCATTTCAAACCACATCGCCCCGCACAACCCGCACGGCCGCGCAAGGGGGGGGCAGCTCCACAGACCCCCGGGAATCCACTGGGAGCAAAAGGAGCAGGAAGCGGACACCATCGAACCCCAGGGGGGACCCACACCTCAGTGCTGGGTGTGACCCGCTCCTACAGCCAGAGCGCACCGGAGGGAACTTGGCTTCCCAGCTGGGAGATGGGAAAAGTCCAGAGGCAACTGTGCTGGGAGCAACAGGGGAAATGGGACAGAACGAGCTGGGTTGGCAACAGAATCGCAAAATTTTCTAATTAAAAATTAAGAGAGCAGCCGGCTCCTCACCCCCACCGCTCACGGGCAGGGAGAGTCACTCTTAGACCACAGAGCATCACCTTCGGTCCGGAGGACAAGTGAGCGTTCGGGGGCACAGCTCCACGGGCAGAGCTTCCCCGGGTGGGTCCGAGGAGCTCCGGGGGGGCAGTGGGTGCCCTGCCGGGACCGTCCCCCCGGGACCCGCCGCGACCCCGCAACGCCCCGAGCGGCGGCGGCACCGTGGGAAAACACGCGGCCAGCGAGCCGGGAGCGGCGCGGGGATGGGGAGGGGACACGGACCTGGACCGAGAGGAACCAGGGTCACCAGACGGAGAGGAATGGAGGGGGTGGTGAGGGGTGTCCCCGGAGAGGAACCAGGGATCCCCCCACCCAGAGGAGCCGGGGGAGCACTCACCGCGGAGAAGTTGTGCGGCCCGCAGAGCTCCCCGCGGTACTTGCAGGAGAGCAGCATGTCCTCCAGCTGGTGGCCCAGGCGGTCCATGAACTCGGCGCTGATGCCCTCGTAGTGCCGGGGGGGCAGAAAGAGGCGGAAATCGGCCAGCTTGGCGAACCAGCGGAGCCGCGCCTCGTCGCCGCGCAGCAGCTCGGTGAGCAGCGGGCGGGCGGTGCGGTTGGGCAGCAGCAGCCCCAGCCAGTGCCCCGCGTAGTACAAATCCCCCTTGGAGAGGCGGGGGAAGCGCAGCGGGTTGTTGTTGCAGAGGGTGACGGCGGGGAAGGGCAGCTGGCGGCTCCACTCGGTGCGCACGCGGGTGTGCGAGGGGAAGGCGAGCCAGTGCAGCAGGCGGTCGGAGGACCAGGCCAGCAGCAAGCCGAGCGCCGTGCAGAAGGCGAGCACCCACAGAGCCCGGCGCGCCGGCGCCGCCCGCCCCGAGCACATGTGCCGCAGCCCGTGCAGCCGAGTGCGCAGCGCCGGCGCCCGGCGCCCCCGCGCCATGGGCGCTCCCCGCCGCCGGGGGCTCAGCGCCGCCGCGCCATCCCCGCGCCCCCACCGCCCGCAGCGGCCCCGAGCGGCGGGGGCAGCGCCCGCGGCACCGCCGCCACCACCACCACCGCCACCACCACCGAGCAGCAGTTCCGGCAGCGCGGCATGCCGGGCCCCGCCGCCTCCCGCACCCCCTGCGGGGGGCAGCGGGGCGGCCCCCGCCGCGATCCGCCCGAGCCTGCCTGCCCGCTTGCCTGCCTGCTTTCCTGCCTTCCCCCCCCACCCCGAGCCGTGCCCGGCCGCGCCGCTCACATGCTGCGGCGCCGCGCCCCGCCCGCACCGGGATGCTCCGCACCCGGCGGGTTCTCCCGCCCCCTCCCCGCGGGTTTCCCGCCCTCCCCCACCAGCTCCCGGTTCTTGCTTCCCGGCACCCGCTCGCTGCGGGACAACCCCCCTCCTCCCGCCCGGTGTGGCCCGATGCGGGACCTACCCCCGGCCCGCGCCCGCCCGCCCCGCGCTCCGCCGGCCCCGCGCTCCCATCCCGCGCTCCGCGGGCGAGGAGGAAGAGGTGGTGGAAGAAGAAGAGGTGGTGGAAGAAGAAGAGGTGGTGGAAGAAGAAGAGGTGGTGGAAGAAGAGCGGGACGAAGCGTTGCGAGGTGCCAGTCCCGGCCCCGCCGCTCGGCACCAGCCGCGCTCGGGAGGCGGAGGGAAGGAGGGAGGGATGCTCGGCCCCGATCGCGCCGTTGCTTCACCGAAGTAGCCCCCCCACCGCTACTCCTCCTCCTCCACCCCCACGTTATCCCCCGGCGGAGCCGCCGCCGCCCCCTCCTCCCTCCTCCAGGCAGGAGTTTGTTTTTCTGCCTTTCAGCATCCCCGCGGGAAAACATGATATCGCGGAGCCAGGCAGAGCCTCGGGAAACACGGGCGAGCTTTGCAGCCTGCTCGGTGTAGCCGCTGTTTTCTGGGCAAAGGGGGTGATTGCTTGGGCCGGGGATCTTTTGGCTTTTTGGTCTCCGTGGCGAAGCTGCTCCGAGCTCCTCCACTCCCGTGAAATGAGTGGGAACAGGGAGAAACGTATTCAGGGCAGTATCACCCCCTGACCCCGGCGCTCGCTGCCCTTTGCCCACCTCACGCCGAGCCCGGAGAGCCCCTTGGGATCAGATGCGCCTTTTGCCCTGCATCGGACACCCCCCAAAAAAGCCTCTTCTCCCCAACACCTTGCGAGACGGGAATAACTTGGGATACAGGCTGGCATCTCCCCGCGTTTGCTCAGCTCGGCGCTCTGGAAGCAGCTGCCTTTACCTTCATTTTGCTTTCAAACAGTAGCAAGAAACATTCCTCTAATTGTGTCCAATTAAGCTGTAAGTGCCGGTAACTGCTCTGAATCCCCTCTGATTTTTTTTTTTTCTTTTCCCTCTGAATTCATTTTCCATGTGCATTTGGAGCCGTATATTTTTACCCGATAGATGGAGTTGTTACAGCCTGGTTATCTCCAGCCTCTCCCGGAGTGTTGCTTTTTTTTACTGTGGCAGAGCTGCAAACGCGCAGCGAACCCCGACTTGGTGGCAAGGCGTCCCCAAAATCCCCCTCCTGGCTCTGGGATCACGGGGAAAAAAGGGATTGAGGGGCCTGAGCTTGTGCCCTCCACATATAGGGGTGTTGGCAGCAGCGATCTGCACAAACTCGATGCGGGCTCAGCTTGATGCCCTCAGATAACTTCGGTGGTTTGCGGTGCTCGTATCCACACCCGCCAGGAGTTTTCCCGTGGTTTTTTTTTTTTTGTTTGTTTGTTTTTTTTTTTTTTTTAGGAACGCTAATAAACATCAAAACCTTTCCAAACCCCGCCCCAAGCACGGCCGTGACCTTTTGTAAACCGAGCGGGGAAAGGGCAGAAGTTCCAATATCCATTCCAACGCGATCTCTCGTAGCTCCCATTCAGTCTCTCCGCCTGCTTTCCGAGCGACCTCAGCTTTCTTCTTTTTTTTTTTCCTTTTTTTTTTTTTTTTTTTTTCTCCTTCCCTGCCGCCTGTTGAAATCAGGGGGAGTTTTTCCCCTTGGCTCGCTCTCCCAGGATTAATAAACATCCCAACCGCTTCGCCACGAGGCGGTCTGAGACTGTTAGACCCGTGATATATTG